ATTTGTTCGTTGTTGAGAGGGAGTTTGTTCCGGAAAAAGTGGTAGGAAGTTGGGGAAAATCTAAGAAATGGTGGAAGGGGGTCGCATTTTCCTCCCGGCTTTTCCCGTTTGACATGTGCTGTTTACGCCCCTTCCCCCAACCCCACCCCGCCCTCCCCCGCTCGACAGCTCGATGAGGAGGGAACCAGGGGGGTCGTACCAACTCCCTAAAAGAAGGGGGGGGGGTCGTACGGACTCGACCAAAATCCCCAACCAATGATGTGCCCTGGTTCGCGCTCCGATAATTATCACAGGAATGCTGAGTTGTAGGCACAAGTCAGACTTTAGGCGGGACTTGGGACCTGGCCTGACTTTTGCCCATAAGTCAGCATTCTTCTGATAAGGAACACCTGTCTTTCAACCCCGCTATCAAAGAGCTTTCTGACGGCTTCGCGCTAAATCTTCGCCTTCAATCCTACTCTACGCGAGGGTACTTTAGCCGAGATAGCCCTTAGTATAATGAGCAGTTCCCGATAATAAATACAGTACCTGCGCCAACAGCCATGTAGTAAAAAAGTGCAATTGCTTCGGATCAGCGACACTTGTTCGAATCACGTCAAATAGTCCGAAAAAGGCAGCACGCGATGCGATGACAAATTGAACCGAAGCGTTGAAACCTCTGCAAATATCGGCCGATAAGAGTTGTCAGTTGTCACCACGTGATAACCGAAAAACGCGCCTTCGAAGTACTCAAATTGCAAAATGAGAATTGCAATAATTCACAGCCTTCTTCACCTGTACCAACTCAGCCAGCCTTCACGTTTTCGTATCGTTCCTAGACAGTGAACCATGCCTTTGAATTTCTTTGACCCGTCTGCATTTACGTCAACAGCTAGTCGAGTTCGGGCAAAATCGAAGGGATATAGTAAGAGCAAAGCGGTGGCTCCGCCTAAGCCTCCGCATGCAACAGATCCTGAAATAAGGGGTTAGTGAAGGTGAAGATGTTCACTGTTGGTATCACCGCAATCAGTCGGGTCAATTTCCAGAGGGATAGACTGTCCCCACCTGCAGCCTTGCCACCACTGGTCGTTTCCTTCCAACAGTGATCACTAGCCGATCATTATTGGTAGAGCAGGGCAAGTGGAGGCGGTCTCATCCCTCCCTCGCCACACCGCCTCCGACCGATTGCGATGTTACAGCCTATAGTCATTTACATATGATTTACACTTTACTGCGCAGCTCTATGAAATTTGGGCCAGATTATAGTTGAGCTCTTTTCAGAAGATATCAGGGATGAACGACGCTGTGGATGAAGAGGCGTGCCCGGTGGGATGGGCTCAGCACGGGCCAAACCCCTTCTCTACCAGTTCTTCAAGCGGGTCAGCAACAACAGTCAGTGGAAAACGATTGATACAAACAATATGACACAGTCTTGTCGCCTGCTTGCTCCGACAACTGGTGGAAAACAGGTCTGGCACCGCGCCAAACCATCCCGCTTGACACGCCCCTCATCTGCAGCGAACCATACTGTAGCTTGAACCTCTGAAGACGAATTATCACATCCACTCAGTTTCTAGCACCAGATTTCATGAGCACTTATTTCAAGGAACTTGCTCACAGAGGTCAAACGGTCTCGAGCTAAGCGGGTGTGATATTCATCTTTAGGAGCCCAAGCTTCTGGACAGCAGTGTCATAATCATTTGTCGCGAAAGCGCCCATATGTATGGCGGCGCTAAAGCAGGACTGTGAAACCAGCGCCCATGCTGGCGTCAGCGCTGAACAGCCACCAGTGCAGTTCCAAGAACAGTCATCCGTGATGACAAAACCCTGGGGCCTACTTGTCATCGATGACTGGTCTTCGGACTGAAATAACTCCTTAGCCATGTTTTTGTGGAGAGGATCGGCATGCGGCTCACATGTTTTTCATGATTACCAGGAACATGTTTCATCACCAAGACCAGCCATAAACGACAGACGAGTGCAAAGGTCAATGGCGACTACGGTGCACTCTTGAATCCAGTGTTGGGGTACACCATAGTGCAAATATCATTCCACCTGCTCACCTTTCCGGCTCACGCGAAATTGGTGCGTTTTCCAAAACACAAGTTATTATACGTATATTTGTTACGGCGTTCTCATGGCCAAACGCTAGGAGGAAACACGAACACCGCGCAACAGCGAAAGGAAAGGGAGGGGAGCGGGGGGGGGGGTAGATCTATAGGAGTCAGAGGATGGCCATCGATTGGCTACACAAAAGCGAGAAACGCGGAACTATACAAAATTCGCCTCAGTTAAACTAATAAACCTATGGACGGCCCCGCTCCGGGCCAGCCTGGAATCGCGCAAGGACGGTCTTGTCCCACGTCAGATCCTTTTCCCAGGATTCTCTCTACATGTTACCGTGCCTAGTTTTGTATGAGCCCCCATTAGCTAGCTCATCTAATAAATAATAAGCAATAATAATGTGCGACCAAGCCATTTAAGCAGCTGGTCCATTCGAGAGCGATCAGCTAGGGATGAGTGAGTCTTGTTGTATACTTACCCAAAGTGGCAAGTAAGACTCAAGACTTATTGCAAGCGCCAAGATGAGCCTCAAGGGCTTTAACTGGGTTCCAATTAGAGTGGAATAATGTAATCGAAACAAAATATCAGTGCTTACCCGCAACAAAACGTCGGAATTGTCGCTGTCGATCAACGCCTTTCAACAGTAAGTTTCGATAGAAATCTCTTAGCGCGAAGTTGAGTGCATGATTTGGAAAGCATCTCATAACACCAGCGCAATTTCCTCTCCATAACGACAAAACACCCTAAAAAAGACAAAGATTGATCAAGGGAATTCTGTTGGGCATGCTCGGCCAGGAGGAGAGGAGGGGCATTTGAACGTTTCTGTAAAGCCACCAAGGTTAAAGGTCTCTCTTGAAAGCCACTTCATGAACGAACTGGTTCTCTCACCTCGGAGCTCTCACCCGAGGCTTTGGAAAAGACTCCATTGCTTTACTACGGTACTTCTATGTTTGTAGAAAGAGCGCCTTACGTGCTCATTAGGTGCTCACCTACTGGGTCGCAGCCGTTTCTTTGTGCCATCTTGCACTGAACAGCGCCTAACATACAGTCCATATCCCCGAGACGTTGTGGGCGTGGCTGCGTACTTTACATTAGCAATATGTATGATTTGTGGGCTATTTCCATTCGAGGCAACTGGCACCTTGCTTGGACGAAGACGCGATTGCAATTTCCCAACACCGAAAATATGCCGCCAAAAGTCAGCCCGCGACACGATCAAACAAATGATGTACGGAGCCACGCCCACCGCTTCTCAGGGATTTTAATAAGAACGAACAAAGAAGGAGTGACATGGAAACGGAGCCTATAGAGAAGCAGAAATTTAGCCATTTCGTAGCTTCATAGAAGCCCATAGGTTTCCACAAAATGACCCAGCGCGTTGACAAGAGTTTACGAACCGCTCCCCCCCCCCCCCACTCCCCCGCTGCCCTAGGTTCAACTGCGCCAGATGATGACTAGATTTTCGTACCTGCTCAATGGATACTCGTCGAAGGCAATCTCGCATGCCATTGTATGGGTGGGCCATCGATCTTCCATGATTTTCGAGCTGCAACATATAATTTTTATCTGTATTCGACAACTATAAAGGCAGTGGATCAAGCAGTTATTTTTACTAGACCTCATGTATCGGGGTAAGTAATGGCCCTGATCCCGACAGTAGATTTCATTTTATACCTACAACATTAAGGTACCATCCGAAATGGTTACAAGACGGATATAGCTGTAATTCAGCGGCATGATTCCCAATATTTGGTGATGCTTATGTTGGTCGGGCAGTGTTCGGTTTGCTGACACGTGACCCCGAACCCTTTTCTGGGCATGGCTTGGTCTGGACACGGTTCAGTTATTGTGACACGTGATCCCGAACCACTTTTTTGGACGTCGCTTGGCTCCACGTGGTTGGGGCAGCTTGCGTGACGTGGTTAGGAGCGCTTATGGGGAAATACCTTTCTCTCGAAAAAGAAAAAACCCCGAGTTCATTCTATATGGGAACTCCGGATAGCGCTGGACACGTGCCCTGGGTCACGGATCAGTTCTTTTCACTACTACCACAGGGTAACAGTCTGGAGAGAAAAAGTAATCGTAATTCCTGCTTCCATCATCTAGGGCCCAAGATCGAATGTACGTGCGAAGTCTTGAGGAATTCATTTCACTGGCTGGAATGGAAGGGCTTGGTGAGCTTTTCGGGATTAAAATCCACTCCATACAGGGTACAATACAGTTGTGTCTCACACAACTACAAAAACACAGCCGAGGGGCTGCTGGAAAGGGGAATCGGCAGCTCCTGTCGATGGACGAAACTTAGCAGGATACGAACCGCTGTCCCCTCGAGATTTCCTCCTCTGGTACGACCCCCTCGTCGTCCCTCATCCTACTTACCCAAAGTTTCCCGGCTTCCTACAGCTTCTCGTAATTTTCCTTCACCGGAAGTTCTCCACTTTCTTTCCAGAAAACTGCCCTTAAGAGGGAGCGGGTTCATAGCCTTTTACTGACGGGAAAAACCGAGGAAAGTCAACAACCGAGAGCATTTTTCTCGAAGGCAAATACGACTCTCACCTCCCCCCCCTCCCTCCTTACCTCCCGCGACCAAAAAAGACTCTCTCTCGGTGGGGTTGGGGGGGGGGAGGTCCCCATCGTACGACGTTTCCTGGAGGAAAGTCGTATTTTGCCAAGAGGAAACTTTGCGCCTGGTCAATTACGTGCTAAATGGCACGCGCCAAAAGCGAAGGTCATAGAGATTTTGGTAAAAAAAAGGTAGTGGGGCCATGTAGCTGCAGCACTAAGAATGGATGTCATAATAAGGGTATCATATAAACCCTACGGGCGAGATTTGAGCGGAGCGAAAAAAAACTTAAGAGATTTCGGAGTTGCAATAGTTGATCAATGCCGTTGATTGCCTAGAGAAAATCGTTGCCGTGACAACTTTTCTATGCAGACAGAAATCGGACATACTCTAGGGCCTAATTACAGTCTTGTTGACTGGAGCGTTATAGGGAGGTTGAATATGACGGCGCCGGCTCTCCAACAGTTGTGGTCGGCTACCAGCTTTTATGGACAACGGGCTGGTGTAGCGTCATCACCCCCCCCCCATCTCGAAGCGCCCCCCCCCCCGTCCGCAGCTAATGAGAATATTCAAAAATTGCAATATCAGTGATTGGCTGGGAATTATTAACTGAGGGTTGGCTGCCACCATCGCGGATGTGTTCACATAGTACTTCTCTCCCCACCGTGCCCTGGACTATATGTATAGGGGTGTAAGGGAGTTCGTTTTGGTCCCACTAAGAAAAGGAGGAACAGGCACGACATCCTTTGGGTAATTTCAAGATCCCAAGCGAAGGGGTCGCATCTGCTTGCTGGCGAGACGAAGGGATGTGTTTGTCTTAGCAGAAAATGTTTCCAGTTGTTGACTTTGCTTGGTTTTCTCCGCTTCACTGGCAGTATTCACCCCCCCCCCCACTCCACACCCCTGCGTGCCGCTCGACGGCAGTTATTTTGCAGAATTGGTGGGGGAATCAGAAGAGAAAAAATCGGGAAAAATTTCGGAGAAGTGGTAGAATGCTGGGAAAATTTAGGGATATTGTTGGTAGAACGAGAGATTGGGGAGAAGGGATTGTAGCAGAGGTGGGAATTTCGAGAGGGGGTAGTATTTTGCGAGAAAAAAATTCCCAAACGGCGTGACCCTCAGGAAAGGGCAATGAGAAAGATACAGGCTCGCCGTATCATACGAAATATCTCAAATTTTACCTACTCGTAAATGATCTGAGTTTGTCCAGTAAGGAATTCGAAAATACCTGTAAAAGAAGCTTTACGCGGTCGAAGGGCGCAGTGGTAGTTTTACTGAATGCAGCAGCAGTACCACCAGCAAGACATCTTTTCAGCACATCCACAGCATCACTTGTGGACGTTGAAGCGATCTCCATGATCTTTTGCTTCTTCCGGTTTCTTACCTTAAGTACAATACGAGATCAACCAGCAACAACACTTGAGCGAAGTACTACGAGTTGAGAAGAGCTAAAGATGGCAAGTCATAATGGATGGTATTACTCGTGTAATAGCTACAGAGTAGTACTCATGGGCGATGCATTCACATGCCTCACGGATGCTGAAGTTTCTCACGGAACGCCTATGTTCTCTATAGTGACTCGCTATTTCGATATTACAATGGACAGGAACTAACGTGATGAGACCACCTGGTAGCTGTTTACTAGTAGGCCCCTGTGCGTTACCTACTGGGTCTTTCATCGAGTCTTTGATATACTAGTAGAATCAAGCGAGTAAAGAAAAGTCCAAACGTAAAAAATGTCGCAGGAATCTTCCGCTAACAAAAGAAACATAGAAATTCGAGAAAGTTTCGTTTGCACACTAGCTGGAGACCTAGTATAGTTCGTACCAGGGCTCTTGGAAAGGGCGTGTCCACAAACGCAGATGTGAGAGCGGAGACGGCTGTAGTAGATAGTGTCGCAATAAGCTAGAGCGGTGTCCGGAGGGGCGGGATGAGCCCGCCTTTGACCGCCTTGCTCTACTAATGACGATCATTTAGCGACCGATTCAGAAAGAAAACAGTCAGTGGTCGAAAGTCCGTGGGTGGGCTCATTCCATATTTTTTGGAACGCCCCTACTGACTGTGACGATATGAACTGCTGCTGGAAATAATTTCCCAACAATTCAGGTGACTTATGGTGTTTGGCAACTGTCTGGGGTATAGCAGACTCCAGGTGTTTTTGCTTCAGACGCATGTGGGATTGACCCTGATTGTGGAATCAACTTCCTTTGGGAACAAGCTTCTAGGCATAGAAACATCTAAAAAACACAGATATAGGCGGAAATTTCAAAGTAAAGGGTTCATAAAGGTGACACCCACTGACTACTACTTGACCTACCCCCTATACTAACGTGGAAGGAACGTCGGAAAATTGGAATGCGGGCTTTCATTGGATAGGAAGATGATTTTCGGGCCAAGGAGACCAGCTAATCGTGTAGTTCAGGAGTTCCAAGACCTCGATTGCGTGGCAAAACAGCAGAACAGCTCTTTGCTAATCGCCGTGACACGTCGCAGCATTGCCATGTTGAATCAGTTGGGTCCCTATGAATGCCAGGGAATGACTCTTCTTGCGACATCGCTCTCGCCGCGACGGGGATATGCTAAGCTCCACAAGGAACCCCCATACTACGACACATACTGCCGTCGCGTGTGGGGCACGCAGTACAGTCAGGAATCCTCAGCCGGGTCGCATATTGTCTCCGGGGAGGGGTCATACTTGACCCAGGAGCTTTTTTGATAGATGGTTTTTCCTGTTTCACGCGCGCTGCGTATAACGTCGGGAGGTTCCCTTAGTGGGGAGGAGGGAAAAACTCACCCATGCGCGTATGCGGCGCGGTTTCTTCACGGCGCCGCGGCGGCAGGGCGGAGCGAAAGGCGATGGCCCGCGTCTCCGGCGCTGTGCTCCAATCCAGCAGCCTCTTTTATGTGGAAGGAAGAGGAGGGAAAAGTAGAGAGGAAGGGAATTGAACAGATAGTGGGTGCATATGTGAGTTAGTGGTAGTGGTAGGAGATCACAGAAAAGTCTATCACGGCGAATTACTTCAGTGAATGGTGCAACTTGATAGTTCCCTTCGATGGTGAAACCGACGCAAGCAGCTTTTAC